ATAGAGAATTAATTAAAATTGAGAATCTTAGCTTGCGAATAAATTTAACAATCATAGAGAATTTACCATTTTACTAAGGCTAATGAGGACTTTTTTGGCAATACTTCTTCAATTACAGATTCTAATTTATTATATTGTCCTAAAATTTTAGCACGAATATTTCTTTGAACTGACGTTTTTACTAAGGATTGAGTCGCTATATCTTCTTTAATGTTAAATCTCCAAAAGTAGGAAATAGAAAGCAGATTAGTTGGCAGTCACAAAAGAACACATAAGCGAACAAAGGAAAGAAGTTATATATACTTTTTAAACATTGTGAATTTTGTGAAGAGTGCAAGCCTTTACCAAGATTGTTCTGGGGTTTGAAATTGAAAATTATTGGCTGATAAATTGTGTAACATGATCAGTGATCGAACTTCCCAAAACTTAAAAACGGTTAAAAGTACGATTTGATTTTTTTGTCAACAATATGCAAGATCCTAACAAATCAATCGAAATTAGTAGTACATCGGTAAGTTTAAACTTAAAAATGTTTATGCGCGTACCATTAGTCAATTGACACTATTTTTTTCGTAGGTTTTAGATTTAAAAGCTGAACTTTTTAAGCAAAAAGAAGAGTTTGAGAAGCAAAAAACAGCAGCAAACAATCAAACTTTTTCTGCTGTTGCGAGAAAAACAGCAAAGGTTTGTAAAAAAAAAAATAAAAGAAAAAACAATTTTTCTTTTTATATCCTAATTGTTTTCCTAATCTAATTGGAAAGTTCCTTATTTGTAGAAACCAGATGTTTGGGAACGTCAAAATAAGGGAGTACTTGAACGATCGAATCGAGATGAATTGGAGAAGATAGATGCGCCAACATTGGAGGCCAGTAGAGCCGCCATGGAAAGAAAAGCCAAATTATATGATCATCTAAGAAAAACGGGCATAAGTGGTAAAAATATTTAATGGGGAATTTACTTTAAGTTAGCCTTTACTCGAACGTTATCAATTGGTCTAATTTGTTATAATTTATGGTATAGATGATAGGTTAGCGGAAGAAGTTTTAGTAGATTTTGATCGAAAAATGTGGGAACAACCATCGGTAAGTAGAGTTATCAATATAAAATTTGATATTTAACCGCCTTTCATTAACTCCAATCAGCTATGTATAGGACGAACCTACAGAGGATAAAGGTAAAGATGGAGATCCCTGGGTAGAATATGTAGATGAATTTGGAAGAACACGGTTGGCACGAAAAAGTCAAGTGCCCAAAATAGAATCACCAATTGCCGGGTAAATTATTATTAATTTTTTTTACTAAATTATTATTACATTAAACTAAATTTTTTTTTAAATTAGGCCAACGTTACCAACCGTTGACGATGAATTAATATCGGAAGAAACGTTATTAGAACAAGTTCGAAAGCGTTGGGAAGAAACTGCCAAAGCAGAATTGGACAGTACGTAAATAAAATCTTTGCGAAAACTTTTAATGAATTTTTATTTATTTATTAATTTTTTTTTTTGAAATCATAGAGGGTGTAGGTCCTATTCATTACGATGAAACGAAAGGTATGCATCTGAATTTGTGAATATTTTGATTATTTTATTCGAGAAACATTAATAGTTTTATTGTGATCTACAGAAATTCGCACGAAGGGTGTTGGTTTCTATCGTTTCTCCAAAGACGAAGAGGAACGTCAAGAACAAATGCGTGCTTTAAAGCAGTTGCGTCTTGAGGTTAGTATGAAATATAAAAGCAATTTAAGAAAATTTTTATTTATCTTATTAGTAACTTATTGTTTTTAGACTGAGTTAAAACGAGCAACGCATCAAACCATCAAAGAAAAACGAAAAGCACAGTTAGATGCTAGGATGGAAATGATTTGTGCAAAAAGACAAAAAAGACTAAAAAAACTATCGAAAACCGAGTCGAATTCTATACAAGCCGACATCACAAAAGCTGCTAACACATTATCTATATCATCATCTTCACCAAATGCATTAGCAACAGTTCCATGTTTAACAACGGAAGAGAAAACTACAAGCAAAATTGAACAAAAACCTTTGGATAACATCGACACATCTAATTTATTATCAAATCCCGAACAGGCAGTAAATGATTTATTGTCAAACATTAGAAGACAAGTAGAACAAGAAAGAAACGGAAAGGTCTCTTAAGAATTATTTTGAAACTTCTAGGAAAGTTATTTCCTTAATTTAAGTTTCTATATTAAAATTCCGTAAATAATTTCTGATAACTACTATATATTTCATTTCCTAGATCATTACAAATAAAAATGATAAAATAAAATAACTAGATTATTTTTAAAGAAATAATAAAATTATTCCCAAAAATGTTTTGTTTTTTTTTTAATTCTTGATTATATGATAATAATATTCAACCCATTAACTTGTTCGAGGTTAAGATTCTTCCTTTGTTTCGGAATGAGGTTTAACATTACTTTGATTATTCATACGAGAAATCACTGCATCAGCGCCCAAATAAACGATAAAAGCTCCAACACCCCAAGAAAGACCAGGCCAAGTATGTCTTAGCGAATTACGAACAGATAAATGTGGAGTATTACGCCAGGCTTCACGTTTAGCCCAAGGATCGTGTAATTTTTGAATAGGCATTTTATTGTTATGATTATATATAAAATTTTTTTAAAAAAAATTAACACGGTTGAAAGATTTGGTGGCTTAGAATCTTCACAACGAATCAGGGACAATAATTTTCTGCGGTGATAAAACCAAATTCTGTGATATCATGTGACACTGATTTTGGGTAACTTTGTTATTTTAAAGTCCTATTCCATTTTGATTTTTTTGAAATTATTTTAACCAATTAAAAATGGTAAGGATAAGATGTAAATTATACTTTATAAATTTAATAATAAACTAAATAAATTAGATGATATTTTTAAATTAATAAAAGTAGTAGTTCTTGTTTTATCTTATTCTTGAATATATATATTACATCTAAATATTAGTGATATAAAATATTATCTTTATATAATGATATATACTTTAAAAAAATTTATAATGGAAAAGTAGCAGTTTAATAAACTAATACAAATTTTACAGCATGATGTAATATTTCAAAATCAAAAAAAAAAACTATAAGCACTAGTTGATTTTTAATTAGTAATATTTTTTTGTGTATTGGTGAAGATATTATAATTCTTTATGTAAATTATGTAATAAAAGCTATAAAGAATAAAAAATCTGAATTTGTTCAATAATCTAAAGATAATATGGGGCCTTTGCAATAGAAAGGGAGGAAACTCCAAAAAAATTAAAATTTTAGTTTATAAGCCAAAAATGTT